TCACTCAGAAGGACTGAGAGGAGCTGAAAGCAGGGGAAGAGCTGGTGGCTGTCCAGGGGCAGCTGCTTCCAGCCCAATTTAACGCCTTCGGTGCAAACCAGCTCAGCTCAGCAGAGCCAAAAGCAACCACGGACAAAACCAATTGAGGGAAAAGCGTAAACGCAGAAGCATGATTGCTACTCAGGAGCAAGGGCAGAGTGCTTCCCCCGCACCCCACGCTTCTGTCAGGCCTGCTGAAAGGGGAACTGAAAATTGCAATTAAAAAATTAAAACTCAGGGGTTTTAATATTGGAAGTAGCAGTCAGGACATGCACGTGGCTGATAAGAGAAGCTAATGGGATCAGTTAAAATACATCTGCAACCAAAAGGTTTAAGCAAAACAAGGAGGAATTCTTTAGTCACGTTAGAAGAAAGGAGCTTTACCGCTGATGTAAATCACTACCAGATCATGATGGTGCAACTGTCAGTCATGAAGGAGCAGTGACACACAATTATTTATTCATCAGCTACTTCTGTTCTGTACTTGGAGACAAATAGGCTCCTGTATTCCGCCAGGAGTTAGGGAGGATGCTAAACAGCAACTATTAAGTGTAAACATGAAATTGGTAGGACTAGAGAACTTTCTCCCAAGAGCATTCAGAGAATAGGCTGAGAGGTTTTTCTGAAGATCTAAAATGGATTTTAATAAATCTTGGCATTCTGTTGAATTTCTAGAAGACAGGAAAAGCTGGTTTAATGTTTAATCAGCCTGTGCCACGAGCAATGGCGATGGGCAATGGCAGGAGCTGTGTCCCCAGCATCGCCTGTGGGTTAGCTGAGGTGGGCAGCGGCAGGGAGGAACCAGGGGACGAGACAAATGTCAAACAGCCTGGTGGAAAACAGATTTATCAAACTTCATAAATTATTCTTCATATGGTTACAAATTCAGTTGATAAAGGAAATCAGTAACATAATACATTTAAGAGTTCCACAGGGTATTTGATTTAGCTCTCCTGAAAAAGTGAAAGACCAGTATTATGCAGAATCAACAGCACTTTATTAAAGGGACTGGGAGGCAGATTGCAGAGATTGTACATTGTCATCCGATGGGATATTTCTACACGGGATCACCTGTTACCGGAATAGTGTCAAGCTATAACAACTTCTTTATCAAGAGTATTAAAGAAAACATGAAATAATTGTGGGTAAAAGAGGCAAAGGGCAGAGATTATTTCTTATGTTCAACAGAAGTTTGAGGGGCTCATTTCTCTTCCCAGTGCAACAGCTGGCCGAGGGACACGGCAGACTCACCCTCAGCTGAAGCCTCCATCTATCTAAAACGCACCAGGAGCCAAGCAGGAGCTGGAGGTCAGGTGTAGCAATGGCTCAGCAGGGTCCTGTGGGCTGTAGGGGTCAACTGACAATAGGCTTAATATTAGGTTTTAATCTAGACAAAGAAATATTAGGTTTTAATCTAGACCCCCAAAAAAGACCAAAACCCAAGCCAAGCTCTCCAGGTTTGGCAGGGAGGAATTACCGGCTTGGCAAAGGCTGCATTGATGCTGCTGGCGGGACGCTGGAGGGGGGTGCTGGGACAGGTCCGAGCAGGACAGCTCGGCTGAGGAATGGCTCGGGGTCCCCGCATCCTTGCACAGCCACAGGCAGATGTGTCCGTCCTCTGCAAACCGCCCCGCATCCTCTGCAAACCGCCCCGCGTCCTCTGCAAACCGCCCCGCGTCCTCTGCAAACCGCCCCGCGTCCCACCGCAGCTGAGGACGCCCCAGCAGCAGGGACGGCAGGACGCTGTGCATCCTCCAGGAGGGAGGCAGGCAGAGCAACACTCGTGGTCCTCCAGAAATGACGGAGCACTTTATTCTGATGAGGGAAATGAAGGAGGAAAGGAAAAGTACCACGTTGCCTTAAAATACGGTATTTCAAGCAGCCTTGGCCAAATTCTCCTGCTACTTCTGCCTGTTTCAGCTCCACATGATGCCATGGAGCCAGTCCCAATCTATACCACGCAGCAGGGAGGACAAGGAGGCTCCCTGCGTTTAACGATGCTGAATTTAATTAAGTTTGATGAAAACCAAAGTTCTTTTACTTGCCTAAAACCAACACAAGCCTAAGCAGCTATTTCTCAACTTCAGCTTTCTCCCTGAAGTGCCGTGTGTTTCCCTACCTTTTATATTAACAAGGAAGTCACAGAGGAAAACAACTGATGATAAACAGCCACAGGGGACACACATTGACAAACGCTGGTCACGTTTGAGCGGGAAGTACAAGAAGACACCTACTAAGTATTTGCATATTGTAAAAGTGATAATTAGAATCCAAACGCTGCAATTTAAAACAGAGGCCATCCTAGCACAGCAGTCTGGGAACGCCTGCCTGGGCTCCAGATATTGAGTCAACCACTAATTTGTGTTTTCCAGCGTGGGTGTCTCTACATAGGTCTGCGGCGGCTTCATTCAAGATTTATCCGCTCTCGCCTATGGGCTTTTGATGCTCACGTGGTGCAAGCGGCTCCCACGCAGGCGCTGCGCGTGTGTGACTGACATGGATTTAAAGAGCATCTGCGACGGAGCGTGCACCCAGTGCTCACGTCGGTCATTTCAATAATCTACCAGGCACACTCAGCCAGACGAGCGACTGGAGCTCACCACTTAATTCCTCCGTTGTTACACACATTAAATCCCCGTTAGCGGCAGAAAGTTCAAGGCCGAGGTGCTTTCCGATGGGCAGAGAGCACTGCTCAGTGCTAAAAGCATCTTCTGCACCACAGGAGAAGTGGCCCTTTCAACTGACCATGTTCATTCCTAGCACAGGATGATCAAGTGCAACTTCTGTCCATTTTTCAAGCCAGATCCAATGAGTGCACAGAAATTAGAGACACAGCGAGGCCCTGCCAGCAGCACAGCGAGGCCCTTCAAGCAGGAATCAGACAGGACCTGCTGCACGTAAAAGTACTGGGTGCAGGGGCTCAGCACCCAGCACTGCCCCGGCGCAGGGCGCACTGGTGGAGAGAGCGGCCAAGTGGCTGCAGCACCGATCCTCAGCTCCAGGGGGGCTCAGCCCCTGCTGCAGCACCGTCCTTCCTCCGCGCGGGAACGTGCGTGATGAGCTCTGCACAGCTCGGCTGGGGGAAGTTTTCCATTCCCAGCATCGCATCAGTTAACAGCCTGTGAGACACCCGCTCATTTCTCCAGCGAAATTCTGGAGGGTGATGAGCAGCACCGCTGCGGCCCCCCAGCACCATCGCAGCCCCGCGTGCTCACCCCGAACACTGGCTGGGACCCTCCCCGCCCGGCCGCTGACTCGGTGCCGTGTGCCCCCCACAGCCCCCGTTGCCCGCCTGCACTCTCACGCACACGCAAGGGATGACAGAGCCTGTGCCCAGCGCCAGGCCTTGATTGTGCCACGGCCACGGCAGAGCAGCACCGGCACAGCACTGTTCAGAGCCACCCTGTTCCCGCTCCCACCCCGGCAGCTGTCGGTGTGCTGGCCCGGGGGAGAACGTGCGGCGGGGAGCGACGAGCCCCACGGTGAGCACATGCCCCACTGCTCCCAGCCCCACAGCTGGGCTCAGGGCGAGGGACTGTGATTCAGCTCTGAGCTCTGGCATGGCACTGTTAAGCCCTTTCCTGAGTGTGCTGTGCCCAAGAGACCAGGGCCTCACTGGCTCCTTCCAAAGCAGTGATTTATCGCAGTGAGGGAAACATAAAACATTCGCTGAAAAAAAATACAGCCAGCAAACCCAAGAATTTTGGAAATTACTCATGCCTCCAGTGATCCCATCTTTCACAGCCCTGGCTGCTGCCTCCCTGGCTCCCTCAGCCCAAGAGGGGAGACAGATTATCTCAAATTATTTATTATGGAATTAGAGCCTGATCCAAACCCTCCTTGAATCAATAAGGAAGCTCTGACTGCCTTCACCGGGTTTAGGACCGAGCACCAGGAACAGACAGGGTATTTCTGCATCTGTGGCCGTGACTCACCGAGAACTTTCCAATGTGGAGGGAGCAGCTCGGCCACCGCGGCTCGCTTGCCCCCACCGTCGGAGGTGTCGCTCCTGGGCTGGGGGGAGCCTGACGCCCCCAGGGCCCTGTAGGACAGTGGGGCAGGTCCCCCCGAGTACACAGGACACCAACTGCTGCCGCTAATTTTAAAAGTTACAGCCCAGTGTGATTCCATCAGCCACTTTTTGCTGCGCAGGTACCAGCACCTGGCTCCGTTCAAGCTCATGTTTAAGCACAGCCTACTGTTGCTCGTAAAAATCTCAACCAGTAGCTTTGGGGCAAAACTGCCCCCAAAGCGTGGCCTGCGCTGCAGGAGGGCAGCAGCTGCCGTGGCCTCGCCGGCCAGGCGCTGCTGCAGGAGTGAAGCAACGGGGCGAAGCAGCGAGGCCAGGCAGGCGGGAGCCCAGGCGTGGGGCAGCCGCGGCGGAGCAGCCCAGCCGTGGGGCAGCCCAGGCAGGCCATGGGGCGCAGTCCCCGAGGAACAGTGGAGGCACAAGCTACGGTGGGGCAGCAGCAGCACACCTTGCCCAGCTCTGCAGTTCAGAGGGGAAGGGCTGGCACTGCTGGTGGGGATCGGCCATAAAAATGCCGGGTGTGATGGGTTTCCCCCGGATAGGGACACGGTGCCTGCGGAGCATCGCAGAGGGGGAGAGGCTGAGGGGCTTTGCTCTCGGAGCCATTCACATTAAAACAGCCCCCGGGGCCGGGAGAGGGACCTGTGGCCTCTCAGCCTGAAGCTCCCCGTCTCCCCGAGAGCGGGCACAGGCGCCGCGCCGCCGGGAGGATGCACAGCGCGGCGGCCCAGGGACAGCGCCGGTCCCCGGGCACGGGGGACCCCAGCACCCCGCGGCCGCACCCGCCGCCCCGCTCCCCCCCGGCCCCCCGCCC